TTTTTTATACGAAAGAAGGAGCAAACCACACCAGAGCACCCGCCAACCACCCACTCACCCACTACGTTTCTCTGGGTTTGCCCAGGTTATTAATGCTGTTCTTCTTCTTATCATCATTACAACAAAGCGCAGCGGGAAGAACACTTCCAGACCCACCTGCAGCCCAGAGACTAGAGTTGGCTGACTGCTGAACGTGATGGCTCCGCCCTGAGACTGCATCTGCACGCCGACCATCTCCTGCTGTTGTTGCTGCGGCAGTGGCTGTTTCTGAAGCTGAGCCAACAGCTGCTGCTGGTCAGCCACAGAGATACCTGCCGCGGTGACCACCGAGGGGTCAAGGCCAGCCAGAATGTGCTGCAGGGCCTGGGGCGGGAGAGAAGAGGCCGTTGCACGGGCGTCTGACTCCGAGGTGGGGCCGTTAAGCTGCACCAGAGCGCCTCCGGGCTGAGCGGCGATGCTGGCCGCACCCTGCGAGCCCTGATCGAGAGGCGAGGCCGCCATCACCAGAGTTCCCGCCTCCATGGGCTGGAGGCTCTGCTGCTGCAGCTGCTGAATCTGCTGTTCGCGCAGCTGGGCCTGCCTAAGTTGCTGGTGCTGTTCCTGCAGTTGGAACTGCACCTGCTTGGGATTGAGCGGCGGTAGACCCAGGAGCTTGTGCTGCAGGCGAATCTGCTCTAACTCCTCCGCGCTCAGTTCTGGCAGTTCCTGCTGTTGTCGATGCAGTTCTTCCACCTGAGATGCCGGGAATTAAACGTCAACTAAAAACAGCAAACACTTTTCCCCTCCAGCTCAGAAAAAAAAGTACAAAACCCACTTAACCCTTTCCTGTTGAAAATTTAGCACGTTTTCAACTTGGCCAAAAATTGCCTGGTTAAAAAAAAAACCCGGCTGAACATGCCACTTGTTTCTCTCACGAGATTTGCCTCACGGCAGGCTTAGCCATGGGAAAAATCAATCATCGACATTAAGCCTTTTCATTTCTAGTGAGGTAAGTTTGTCAGAGTGGGTGTCAGCAGCCAAAATTTACTTTTACTTCCACTCAGAGCAAAAATACATGAGAACCCCCTGAGGTTGTTAAGTGCACAGGGAGTTGCACAAATGGATGACCATTGATGGCACAAAATGTGAACAGGAAAGGGTTAAGTAGAACTACACATAACATTATCTCCAATCCATAGAAGCACCGTCATAATGCAAACACAAAAAACACATTTTAGGAAAGAAAAAGAATATTCATTACATACAGGACAAAGACACATAGCTGGCCATGAAGTCAAATAAAAAGAAAGCTAGAAAGTATGAATAATGCAGAATAGGAATAAACAGCACAGACCTAAAACTTCTTTAAAAATAAATAAACAAACAAAAGAAAAAAAAACCCAAACAAAACGAACGACCAACAACAAACATACAATGCAGCTGCACTAAAGTAAAAACAACAGGAGCTTAAAAAACCCCAAAACAAACAAAAACAAGACAAGAAACATCATGCAGCAGCATAAAAGTTAACACAACAGGAGATAAAAAGAACAAATTCCTTTTACTCTATTATTCCAGCAAAAAAAAACAAGGAGCCTCACTCACTTCTCAACTCCGGCAACACAGCCTGATACTCCGGACCAAGGTTTATGTGACTGGGGAGGAAAGGCAAACATTATCATCAATGACAGTCAAGTAGCAAGTACCATATAAATTATCAACAGACATGGCAATACGAGTTAACAAATATCTGAAGATGGCAGCTCCATGTACTTGCAGCCAAAATGCTTTGAACGTCATTAAAGATAAGCCGATCATTTACAACATTAGAATGTGTCTTGGTGTGAAATACACAAGAATTGACATATAGGTAGATAAAATATATTCAACACATATACATCTACAAGGGATTAATAACTTCAATTCTTTCCCAGATATCAAGTTCAACTAAAGGGTATTCTAATTTGTAAAAAAAAACAAATACCTATCCTATTCGTATAGGAATTTCAATACTAACAAACTTGCAAGTAAGTAATTCCCTCCACTGTGCCATTATAAAACCATGACGCTGAGCAGCTACAGAGAGTAAAATAAATAAAAATTAACATACGCCTCTGTCTCTGTAGCTGGCTCTGCTTCCTCAGCTTGGCCGACAAAGGGCTCTTCCGCATTCTCAAGCTTTGCACTGTTTTGACTTCCTGCAAAAGCAAAAAACAACCCCCAAGGTATTGATGATGCTGTGGACTTCTCATCACCCCCCCTGCTACATTAACTAGAACTACTAATCTGTACTTTCCCTTTACTTCTTTAAAAGCAACAAAAAACCAAAAAAAACACCCAATTTTATTTATTTATTTTTTTTAAAAAGAGAAGGCATTCATTTGAAAATGAAAAGTCCAACAAAACTGATATCTTTTAACCAAACGCAATTTTAAACCCTACTTATTCTATGCTGTGGTTTAAAAAGGTTAATCAAATGGTACAAAATAAGAAGACTTGTCTTCCCTGAGCTCTAGAATTGTAAAACCGTTGCCTTGGAAATTGTAAAGCCTATGTAAAAACGTCTATTTGAAAAGTTCTCTCTGGAAATAAAATTGAACAGAATATGATTACAAAGCATACTTCAACAAGTTCAGCAATTTATTACAACAACAAAAAACCCCAATAATATTATTATTATAAAAGGCAATTGCTAGAAAAAAATCTTTAGGCTGTCAAACTAAGAGTATTTCAAGAACACCACACATTGATTTATCCAAGTGCTCAACCTACTATGCTAGGACCAAAAGAAACAAAAGCGCTCACCTCTTCGGCTGAGTGAGATTTTGCCCCACTCTGGAGCTGACTTGGGCGTGATGGGAGGAGCCGACTGGAGAGTGCAAAACAATCCCGAGCCGCTTCTGAAAGGACTCAACATAGGCGGAGGGGTGTACGGGGGCGGTGTGTGACCTTTACCCCTTTCCGTCGTGAGGTGGCCATCTTTGCCAATGACTCGAGGAGACCTCAAACGGCTCTGGAAGATTCCAAACTGAGGTGGGATGTAAAGAGGCGCCGGTCGATGCTTACGTTTGATTTTCAGTGGGCTAGGCAGATGGCCGGGGTTCCTGAACACTCCAGCACCGTCGGACTGAGTAAAAAGATCGTGGTCCTGGTGCGACCCTCTCCCATCCCTTATGAATGTCCCATCCCACCGTCGGCCCCCACGGTACAACGAGTCTTCAGTCAGACTAAGTGTCCGGCCAGACGAGTGCTCTGCACTTTTCGTGCTCAGTGCTTTATAGCTGTTGATATCGCCCGACTTACTGCGGACTCGAACCCTACCCGGGCTCAGACCTTCCACTTCTAGGGGTGAGACGAGAACCGAGTTCGGGTTGACCCCCAACGTGTGAGAGCGATGCAGGCTGGAAAGGGTGGAGCTCTTGCGGTGCGAATCCAGGTCCTCGGACAGTCTCCGCTTGCTCGCTGCATCGTTCTTGGGGATTTTGGCCGGCCTTGGGGCACAAGGCACATCATCTCTGGCCAGGATGTCCGATGACGACAAAGACAGGTGGTTCCCGTCCGATGTGACCGTGGAAGAAAGCATCACATCTTGTTTGATTGAGTCTTTGAACGGTTTCGAGAACGAAGAGGAGTAGCTTTGATATGACGGATAGGAAGGCTGCAGGTTCAGAGAATTATTCAACCCAGGCAGACCGCAACCGCTGGATCCACGACGCATCTCTGTGGAGTCCATGGCAACTGCAGGCGACGGCGCCACAGAAGAAGTGCCAGTTTCTGAGAGAGTCTGGTGCCCAGTGGTGGAGTCGAGGGCATTCCCCGCAGCACTGGCTGCCAGACTATGACTGATGTTCCTCAAAATCTGAGCCACTGCCGCGTCCGTGTTCTGCGATGCCGTGCTGGACGGAGACGAGGACTTGGACATCTGGGAGCTGCGAGTGGGGGCCGTGGAGTTGAGAAACGAGCTTGCCTCAGCCTGAATGCTGTTGTTGACGGTAGTGGTGTTGCTGTTGCTGCTGATACTGTTGATGCGAGTGCTGCTGCCTTGGGTCACGCTGTTTTCCCTGAGTTGAGTGAAACCGAGTTGGGGCTGCAATACAAACAAAGCATTCCGTGAGAAAATCTGTACAAGGTAGGAAATAACCCAAGAAGCAATCTTGCATTACAACTTCAAAATTGTCCTCTAGCTATTTAACTGAAAAATATATTAAAGAATGTTTTCAATCATGTCCAAAAAGAGTATTTTTTATTTTCTTTTGCAATGTTGAGGGAATATAAATGCGTAGCAGCAAATACCGTACGGGAAGTTGCCTTTATCCATCAACAGGGTGCAAAACAACTTTTAAACACTCCCTGGATAATTATAATGAAAATGACATATAGCATTTAAATAGCGCTCAACACTGACTAAAGTACACAGCCTCAAATGATGCATGGTCAAATTTCATGTCACGGTAGTAGATTATCTAGGGTCCAATTATTTTCAGCTTTGTTTATACAATATTGAACGTTGACATATATAAGCCCTCTGTATCTATTGGCTGTACTCCTGGAAAATGTCTGCTTTACTAATGGACAAGTCGGTGCTTCACACTTTTCTTCTCTTAGAAAAGAAACTCACTTTTCTCTCAGGTATTCTAACTTCTATTTCCCTTTCACCTCTCTTTATGACCTATTTGTTTTTGGTATATTATTTAAGTATTTTCTCTGAGTCTCCTCATAACACTTGGAGGTATGTAAACATGGCTCTGAGGTGGAACTGACAACAAAGTGTCCAGAGAGTAGGTTGTTCTAATGTCCACTTCAGTGAATACACTGTCTGTGTTGGAGCTACCCTTACCACAGGCTGAGAGTCCATTAGGAAAAGTGTTCACTTGTCGAAATAAATTCTTTCAACTTTTTCGCAAAGGGGCCTAAACCAAAACAGCAAAACAAATAGGCCAATACAGACTATAGTAGAAATTTTAGTTCACCAATACAGAAAAGTTTTATTTTCTCTTCTAATTTTCATCCTTTCAAGAAAATTCTTACATCGAATGAATCACAAGATCTTAATACATGTGATGGTATAATTGTTTTTTATTATTTCCAGACCATGAAGGTGGCCCACTTTTATCCATTATAAATAATTATCAATTCATCACCTGGGTCCTATTTCTGTTAAAACCGTCTCAATTGCTAAAGAGAAGCAACATAATAATTCTACACGGACTTCGAAGCGTGATATTTTACTTAATGCATTTAAAGGGTATAAATCATGAAATCAATTGAAAGAAATAAGGAAAAATATTAACCTTACTTTGAATGTCTTATCTTCAATTCAAACAATTATAAGCCCAGGTATCATTTTCTAAATCTCCACACAAATAATCTAGAATCAAACAATATGTGGGGGCTCTCGTGGCCTTGAGGTTAAGGTGTTCACCTGTCATTCAAATTATCTACTCAAAAATTGTCTCCTTTAACCTCCTTTCTTGCTCTCTAGCAATATTCTGTCGTCTGCTTTCGTCTCCACTTTCTGCCCCCACCCCTTCACCCCCTGCTTTGGGCTCCTGACTCTGTCTGCAGCCTTTCTACTGCTACTCCTTGGCACCTTCTTATTGCTGTCTTTCAGCCACACCCCTGATCTTCTGGTAGGAAAGATCTATACCTTCTCGGACCAGGGTGAAAAATCTTGGCAGTCCTGTGTGCAAGTTGCGCATATTAAAAATCCCCTGGTGGTCAAAAATTGATAAGAGTAGGCTTCCGTCACCACTCGAGTAAAATTCAACATTTCCTACCAACTGAAAATATTTAATGTGTCCCGCGCGCTTATATGACCTTATGCAGTTGCGAGCGCCGGCCGTAAAACACTTAACAAAAAACCCCCAAAAATATGTGCACCCACCTGTGACGGAAGGGCCTCTAAATGTTGAGCAGAAGGATTATGCAGACCAATGAAGCCTTGCATGTTACTGTTGTTGGAGGACTGGAGCTGGGCGGGGCCGAGGTGGGGTGGGGCAAGGGCGTCGCTGCCTGCCAAGACGGCAGCGGTCACCGAAGGGTCCAGCGACGTGGCATCCATCAGCCCCGAGTGGAGCTGCTGCAGCTGCTGCTGCTGGTGGTGGTCAGCGGCGTCCCCGCCCAGCACCACCGCCTCTGGGATGGAGATGGTCGGGACGCCGCTCAGGTCGTCAGCGTCAGGCGGCTGGAGGAGGATCTGTGGGAGGCTGCCCACCTGGAGGAGACAAAGCGTCTTGTGTTAAGTTTTTGTTTTAGTAGAGGTTTTACGGCGCTCGCAACTGCATAATATAAGGTCATATGAGCGCCAAAGGGTGGATGTCAACAGAGAAGTCCTTACAGGGAATCAGGCTTACTCTGCTCACCTCTCTAGCTTGAGGAAAGTTTTGTTGTAGAAAGAGTTTTACGGCACTTGGAAACACAATAAGGTCATAGAAGTGCCAAAGATTAGGTGTTACAAGAGAGTAACAAACACAAAAAAAAGAAGGGGGGGGGGGGAGATAGAAATGATAGATTTTTTATAGGAAAGAAGGAGCAAACCACACCAGAGCACCTGCCAGCCATCTGAAGAGGACAAAGTGTGATGTGTGTTGCGAGTTGAACAAATTTTTGCTTAAGTAAGAGTTTTACACGGCACTTGCAACAGTTATGTCAAAGAAGTGCCGAAGTTTAGAGGTGTTACAAGGGAGTAAGAAACACAAAAAAGACAGAGGAGAGATACTGCTGTAAGCTGCCAAAACGCCTTTTTTCATCTTGGCGCTTAAATTTTTTACTTGCTACATCGAAAGCTTGACCAGCTCCATCTAGATCACTACGATCAGGTGATCAGTATCTTTTAAGAGTTCCTAGAAAAAGGGGTAAAAAATTAGCTGAAAGATCATTTGCCCACCTTGCTCCATCAGTTGGGAACTCTCTTCCCCAACCCTTGAGACATAGAACATCTGAGTCTAAATTTTTAAAATCTAAAGACACATTTAATAACATCATTTTTAAGTCAGTAGATTCGTGTTCAGCACAATGTTATGTAAATGACTAAGTTTCCGTTTATGTATTTTGCGAATTGCCTTGTGTATATCATTTTATTATATATATGTATGAGCTCATTTCGTAATGATGTGTAAGCGTGCGCGTGAGATAAACAAGTAGATGTGTGTGTGTGCGTGTGTGTGTGTGTATGTGTTTGTATGTATGTGAGTGTGTTAGTGTGTTAGTGTGTGTGTGTGTGTGCGTATGAGTGTGTGTGTGTGTGTGTGTGTGTGTGTATGAGTGTGTGTGTGTGGGTGTGAGTGTCGTGTGCATAAATATTGTTGGTACATGCATTTATGTAAAGCGCCTAGAGCTGTGTTTACACGGGAGTGGGCGCTATAGAAATGATCTTCATTATTATCATTATCACATATGTGAAAAAATCATAGGAAACTGTGACTACTTTTTGAATAAATTAGAATTCAACTTTTAGAATCACTTTATTTTTAAATTAAATGTGAGGCAGCTTGGTGGAATCAGGCTCTCGCCAATTCTTGGGTATATTGAGTTATTGATATCATCTTAAAGCTTGTTCATATGTCTTGCTTTCAATGAAAAAATTACCCATCCATCTTCAATAGAAGTGGAGATATTTTGGATTGAAGGAGGTGGGGGGTCATCTGATTTAAGAGGTAAAACTAGGGAGAAAATGGCCGCCAAAGCTTGGTAAATTCCAAAGCTGGAGAGTTTATGGAATCTGAAAATTTATATTTTTGTGCCTTTAATCAACGTTTTCGGTGAAATCCTCAAAGTAATGTGTTTGTAAATGGACATAAAAGGTGTTGATCCAAAAAACAAAAATTTGATAAAAATTGCTAAGCAGGGAAAAAACTGCTGTTTTCTTCGATTTCATTGTTTTGACGAGAGCCTGATTCCGTCACCCTGCCTCACAATGGGTAAGCTGAAAAAAAACCCCACTCTTTTTCTTGAAACTGCTGTGAGGAAAATAAGGTGTTTTGTCAGCTTATGGCAGAATAGATGTTCGATAGAAAAAAAAGGAGCAAATCACACCAGAGCGCCTACCAACCACCCACCACGTTGAGAAAAGAAACATGCAGAGAAAATGATGCCAAGGGATAACTCCAAATAACATTATCTCCCATCCATAGATGGACCATCATTTACGCAAACACAAAAAAACACATTTTAGGCAAGACAAAACGTATTCATTAGCAGTCAGCACTTGCAACATAGGTCAAATAAGTGCCAAAGAGGTGTTACAAGGGAGTAACAAACACCAAAAAGAAAGAGGAGAGATAAGGACAATTAGATGTTTGATAGGGATGAAGCAGCAAACCACACCAGAGCCTCGCCAACCACCCACCAAGTTGAGAAAAGAAACACGCAGAGAAGATGATGCTACAAACGTTTCTTTACAAAACAAAAAGAGTAAAAGAGCAGGAAGAAAGGAAGGCTTGGATTGAGATTTAGTGAGACTTCCAACAGCACATGTGGTGGAGCATGGATATTCGCTGTCATAACCAGGCTTTGATTTAGACTTAGTAAGAGTTGTGTGGCAGTTAGTGTAGAGCATGGATATAGTCTACCCTTGACCATCAATGATTTATTTATAGAGGCACCAGCCATCCATGTCCAGGTGCTGGTTTAGCCGGATATAGGCTATCATAATCGTTAAGTGCCAGATCTGAAACAGACCCTGGTGACCATAGTTTTCCATTCACTTCCCTGCTCAGATCCTTTTTTAAAAAATCCTAAATTACCACGGCACTTCCCTGTCACCCATTTGTAAAGGTTTTCAAAATAAGTTTCTCTAGCTTATGTTTAGTAAAAGTTTTACGAAAAGTGGGAAGACATGGAATAACATCAAGAGGCTAGCCCAGGATAGAGAAAGGTGGAAGGTGTTTGTCCGTGGCCTATACCCTGGTGCAGGGTGAGAAAGGCAATGATAAAGAGTTTTACGGCACTTGCAACACAGTAAGGTCATAAAAGTGCTGTAGATTAGAGGTGTTACAAGAGAGTAACAAACACAAAAACGGAGGGGAGCTAGAGACGATAAATTTTTTTATACGAAAGAAGGAGCAAACCACACCAGAGCACCCGCCAACCACCCACTACGTTTCTCTGGGTTTGCCCAGGTTATTAATGTTGTTCTTCTTCTTATCATCATTACAACAAAGCGCAGCGGGAAGAACACTTCCAGACCCACCTGCAGCCCAGAGACTAGAGTTGGCTGACTGCTGAACGTGATGGCTCCGCCCTGAGACTGCATCTGCACGCCGACCATCTCCTGCTGTTGTTGCTGCGGCAGTGGCTGTTTCTGAAGCTGAGCCAACAGCTGCTGCTGGTCAGCCACAGAGATACCTGCCGCGGTGACCACCGAGGGGTCAAGGCCAGCCAGAATGTGCTGCAGGGCCTGGGGCGGGAGAGAAGAGGCCGTTGCACGGGCGTCTGACTCCGAGGTGGGGCCGTTAAGCTGCACCAGAGCGCCTCCGGGCTGAGCGGCGATGCTGGCCGCACCCTGCGAGCCCTGATCGAGAGGCGAGGCCGCCATCACCAGAGTTCCCGCCTCCATGGGCTGGAGGCTCTGCTCCTGCTGCTGCTGAATCTGCTGTTCGCGCAGCTGGGCCTGCCTAAGTTGCTGGTGCTGTTCCTGCAGTTGGAACTGCACCTGCTTGGGATTGAGCGGCGGTAGACCCAGGAGCTTGTGCTGCAGGCGAATCTGCTCTAACTCCTCCGCGCTCAGTTCTGGCAGTTCCTGCTGTTGTCGATGCAGTTCTTCCACCTGAGATGCCGGGAATTAAACGTCAACTAAAAACAGCAAACACTTTTCCCCTCCAGCTCAGAAAAAAAAGTACAAAACCCACTTAACCCTTTCCTGTTGAAAATTTAGCACGTTTTCAACTTGGCCAAAAATTGCCTGGTTAAAAAAAAAACCCGGCTGAACATGCCACTTGTTTCTCTCACGAGATTTGCCTCACGGCAGGCTTAGCCATGGGAAAAATCAATCATCGACATTAAGCCTTTTCATTTCTAGTGAGGTAAGTTTGTCAGAGTGGGTGTCAGCAGCCAAAATTTACTTTTACTTCCACTCAGAGCAAAAATACATGAGAACCCCCTGAGGTTGTTAAGTGCACAGGGAGTTGCACAAATGGATGACCATTGATGGCACAAAATGTGAACAGGAAAGGGTTAAGTAGAACTACACATAACATTATCTCCAATCCATAGAAGCACCGTCATAATGCAAACACAAAAAACACATTTTAGGAAAGAAAAAGAATATTCATTACATACAGGACAAAGACACATAGCTGGCCATGAAGTCAAATAAAAAGAAAGCTAGAAAGTATGAATAATGCAGAATAGGAATAAACAGCACAGACCTAAAACTTCTTTAAAAATAAATAAACAAACAAAAGAAAAAAAAACACCCAACATTTATAAGCAGAAAAGACCAATATACTGGCCTCCTTTCAGGGACAATGTGGGCAATTAAATGACACTTATGAGAAAATAAAAATTGGACTACATCATTTTTTTATATGACAGCCACAATATTCAATTAATATCATTAAGACATTTTTTTGGACAATCTTTCACTTAACCATCACATTGGTTTAGTTTTAGTAACATTTTTACGGCATTTGCAACACAATAAGGTCAAATAAGAGCCGCAGATTAGAGGTATTACAAGGGAGTAACACAAGAAAGAAGGAGGGGAGATAAGGACGATAGCCACTAGATAGGAAAGAAGGAGCAAACCACACTAGAGCACCCATCCACCACATTGGTTCCAACACCATCAACACTCACGTGATCCCCTCCCGCCCCCTTCTTCCCCCAGCCCCAACAACACAAACTCACCTGTTGGAAGCTCTGTACCAGCCTCTGTATGTGCTCCCCTTGCTGCGGTGAGGCAGGTTTTGACATTCCCACGTCTAGCCCCATCGAATTGGACACAGAGTTCACCACTTGACCAGGCAGCAGCTGTTCACGACGTTCCAAGGAAGGGAAGGTCAGAAGGTACAAGGGGGGGGGGGGGGAGGTTTAAAAAAAATTGAAATGAAACAAACATTTTTTAAAAATATCACTACACATTTTATTTTCCTTGTTTGGTATTATAATTCCAAGAGAATAATAATCTTCTCAAAGTAAGACAGACTCCCAAACACACTCATTTTTGTTTGTTTTTTAGATATAAACCCAAGCTATTTTTGTATATATCTATTTCCGTCAATATATATATCACAAATCACTTCCTGTGACAAAAGATTTAAAGAGGTGAAGAGGTGACAAAAAACAGAAAGCTGAGCATGGGTGAAAAACTTGAAATGTCTTCCCATAATCTGACACCCTCCCCCCAAAAAAACCCCCAACAAAAAACAACAAACAATTACTCAAAAGCTGAATGCATAGAAAAGACAACGAAAGAAGAAAGTTAACTACATTTTGTACAATCGCAACAAAAACAACTACTTATACTTCAGTGATTCAGTTGTCACATAATAGAAAACAGAAAGTCAGCATAAAAATAAATGACATATTTCGCAGCACGAATAAATAAAGACAATAGTAGCACTGATAAGAAGCAGAAGGGGTACGCCACACCAGGGGTACTATTGTTTGCTTTTGTAAGAATAAAGAAGAACATGGGCACAGTAACAGTCGTTTGGTACAGGGAAAGAGCAAGACCGACGATCAGAAACACTAGAAGTAAAGACAAGAAGTAGGACCTTACAGTGGCACCCCTTAACCCTCTGAGCGCTAAGCCATTTTTACCATTACTTTCCTTCAGTGCTAGGTTTATTTTAGAAAAATGCTAATTTTCAAAATGGCTATAAAAAAAGCTCATATCTTTCTTATTTATCATAATTTCTAATAACAGGAAAAAATGTGTCTTAAACAATGAACTACCCTTATGTCTGGTCAGATGTGTTTTTTAATAATGTTGTTGTTGTTGTTGGTATCAAAATCCTTATCATTTTTAGTCCAGCCTGCTTGGGGATCAGCAGGAATATCGACGTCCCGTTCTGGGCTTAACCTCGTTAGATCTAGATCTAGATCTACGACACGATATCCCCATCATTCACATGAAGATCTAAATCTTTTATTTGAGGACCTAATCCTTCTAACTCTTTATCACAGTGGTCCGATTCTAGAAAAATGTTGGGTAAATCTGAGTTTAAATCAGCCGACGAATCCGACATTTTGAAAACTGTAAACAATATCCCAGAAAATTGCCGATAAAAACCTCCCAACCAGTCACCAGCAGTTTAAAAAATGGTTATTATAATGTCAGCAGTATAGTTTCTACACTCATGTCGGATCACGACAGGTGGTCGCGATGCGCGCGGAAGGGAGGTATGAGTCATCACAACCTGCACGCAGAGGGTTAAACACACAATGCACTTCAGCCCTTATGTTATTGTTGTTAATCCAGGAGTCTTTAAGCGTATACCTTTTGGCCCCAGTGCCATTTTAAAAACAGTGGGGGAGAGATGTCTTTGGCATTCGTTCTTTGCAGCAGCATAAGACACTTCAGTACTTATGAGGACAGGTGTAAAAAGAAAAGCTAGTTTAATCTCTCGTCTATCTTCCACAAGCTACCTGTAAGCCTTGTTGTTGCTGCTGCTGCTGTTGCTGCTGCACTGTGAAATGTTCCTCTAGTAGTCTCATTTGTTCCTGATTTGACTGTAACTGTTGCAGCTGCTGATTCTGCTGGTTCTGTTGTTGTTTCAGCTGGTGCTGGTGCTGCTGCTGCTGCTGCTGTTGTTGTTGTTGCTGATGTTGCTGCTGCTGCTGCTGCTGTCGCCGCTGCTGCTGTTCCCCTGAGATCCTGCGCTTGAGTATGTGAGAAGAGAGCTGCTCCTGAAGCTGTCTGTGCTTTTGCTGAGGGAGTTTGGGCTCCACTGAAAACTGGGGCTGAGTGGAAGAAAGGGATAAAAAACATCATGAACACTTTTCTAGCCAGATTTAATGGAATAATATCTTAAAATTCAAGTGGTCAAAGAAAAATAATCATATATTGACTTTCCATGTTTGTCAAAACTAGAACTTTTATTCCTAATATAATTTGTTTATAAATCGCTGTTGTCTGCCATTTTCAGGAAATACTTGATGATCACGAGTCCTAAAAAGCTCAGTAGGCTCAACAAGATGCCATTGCTATTCACCACGTGCAAAACCTGCCCTATACTAACACTTACTATTTATATGTAACTTAACTAGAGCTGTTATTAGAGGTGCCATCTGAGTATTTTTAAAAATCTGTTTTTTCCAGACCTCATAGAAATGCTCAAGCCAAGACGTAAAATCTAGAGATCATGCCTAAGAAATCTATTTCATCCATATTATTTTTGCAGTGATCACCCTGAAACAGGGCAGAAACTGAAAAGTTTCAGAAAACTTGATTTATCCAAAAAAACTGGAACTTTTGCTGCTAAGCGTTCAAAACGGTGCATTTATGAGATGCCTCTCCGCCTACATTTAAACTTCTCATCACTCACGTTTTGGGTTAGCTGTTCGGAAGCAGAAGTTGTGTTCAGTAGTTCTATACCCGAGGGGGACTCTACCGAAGTCTGTGTGGGGGTGAGGGGACCCAGAGCAGACGGGGAGAAGCTGGCGCCAGGCATTGTGGGACTGTTGCGCGCCATTCCAGGCTGAGGAGACGGAGTAGACGTGTGGGGTGGTCGACGCAGTGGGGGGCCCATGTCAGAGGGGGCGGTGGATTTTCTCATGGGGGATTTCTTCCCGTCCTTGTCCTGTGCAAGAAAAACGGAGAAATTTGAGTTTGGTACTGCATAAAATAGAAGAAAAAAGACTTGAATCAGGCACATCTTTTATTATTATAAGGCCCTTTTAGGTAAAGATGAATTAATAACCACCAAAAAAAAAAAGAATATATGAAATGCTAAAAATGCTTAATGATAAAACTACAGATGCAGCAAAATATTTTTTAAGTGGAATAGCTCAACTGTAGATCTGAGAAGTCAAACAAACGTCCATATGTTGGCTGCTTACTTCAGAAAATCATTGTCACCAACATGTTGTGTTGTTAACTCCTTTCTCTGCAAAACAATGGCTAAACACCAAGTTAAAAAGAATCAGTACTATCACCAGAAAACAACTGGAGCAATCAACCTAATGAAGTATGAAAACTGCAACTTTAAGATTTGAGTTAAAATACTACCTAAATCTGAAGTGATAACTTCAAATGAAACTCAAAGTATAAATCACAATGGACAGTATCAATGCAAGACCACATTATGTCTCTTGAGGTCAGGCCTCAGGCACACAACCAATTGCTGACTTGGACTGGTACTGAACCAATACTAACCTTCCCAGGTTTTTTCAAGAAACCACCATGACAACGCATGTGTCCATTGAGAGCAGAGGAGTTCTTAAAATAGCGGTCACAGGTGGAGCAGTAGGCCTGAGTCTTTGGAGGTTCCTCCCTTTCAAGTAAATTGCAAATAAATGGATAGTTTGTTAGTTCATGAATGTGAAAAAAGTAGGAATGTGGGGCTAAGATGGGGAAAGAGGCACTTGTTCTTGCACCAAAAGCTTAGGTATCTGACACTTCACTCCATAAAGAAATTATTGAACAGCAGACATAATTTCTACTCTGCTATGTATATAAATTCCCTACTGATATCTCAATTATAAGCCATACTACATCGACATTTTTGTTCTAATTGTTACACTGCAACTTAAATTCTTGCCCCAAAAGCGAGGGAGAGAGAGAGAGAGAGAGAGAGAGAGCGAGAGAGAGATAGAAACTGTGCGCGCGCGCGAGAGAGAGAGAGAGAGAGAGGGGG